AAGATGAGTGTCTTGTGTATTGCAGGGCTAAGTGAACCAAGATGAGGTAGCTTGGTTTCAGGGGAAATTTCATGAATCAACGCTGTTTAATGTAAATATGTTGTATGTTATGGAAACACTGGAGGACCCACAGATTTTCATAAGCATGCAGCTCTGCTAATTCTTACTTGTATAGGCAGCTTCAATATTGTTTGCAGTCTCTTGTTTCTGTCACATGGGCTCCACAAAGTGAACACTGATGTCATTCTTGCTACTGTGGGTGACAGTGGCTGATCAACCCTGATTTCATAATGTTTCTCTTCTGAGTTTAGAAGAAAAAAGCGGGAGAAATCGGCTTAGCAAAGCATAGATGAAATCTATTGTAGCACAAGCTGCATAATGAAGGAAGAATCTTGTGAAAGCTGCAAGTCCTGCACTGTATCTGTGACACTGTATCTTTGGCAGGGGTTGGGGGGTTGGGAGGGTGTCCTGAGGCTGGGGAGGTGGAAGCTTGAAGTATTTGATTATGTACAATATTTTATATAAGCTTATTTCCCCTTCATAATCTTCAGTGATGGTACTTAAATAACATTAAGCAAAGATTACTGTAGTAGGATAAAATAAGCATTGTACATAAGGCTATGTATAATCTCAACGTTTTGCCACACCAGAACGATGTGTATTGCTTTATGGGGGGAAAGTCCTTAATGCACTGTTATCTCCTAAATATTTAGTAGTAAATTAATACTATTTAATTTTTTTAAAGAAATCTGTCTTGTGTAGACACTAAAAAGTATTACACAATGTAGACTGAAGATGTCCCTTTTTAACAGCAGTTTAAATAATGTTTTATATCTGTAATCTAGTATACTTTTGGAATTGTTTAGTTTGTATTTTCTCATGTTAACTATTTGTGGAAGTGTGCCTGACTTCAGTTTTCCTTTTTATATAATTTCACATAGGTCATCTTCCATTCTTGTAGAGGTTTTTTGGTTACCTAGCTCTGTGTACAGCTCATGTGCTGTTTCAGTTGGTCAGTGCTGGCCCATGTGAAACGGTGTATTCTATGGTGGCTGATAAGGTTTGAAAAACACCAAACACATTTTCCTAATGCAGATTTGTTTTCTGGTTTGTTTATATTTGAAGGAATATTTGATATGGAATAGCTAGATTTTAAGTGCTCCTTCATCTCTAATGAAATCAGTGTACAAAGGCCCCACACATCCCTTCCTGCCCCATGTCTTGATCTTTGAAGGTCAGAACTATAATTCCTCAGTCAACAAGCTTGGGTCAGTTGTCTGTTTTGCTCGTGGAAGAGGAAGAAGTTTGCATCTAGTAGCACCTACCCAACATGTTCCCAAAGTGAGGGGTGGTGGGAGTCTTGTTTCCTAGTTCTTGCTGCCATCCACTCATCTCTCCATTTGACCTGTTGGAGCAAAGGCAGCTGTGCTCAATAGATAATTATAAGAAGCACCCAGACCAGTAGGCCTTGCATTTACTGTTTTTAAGATGTCCTCATATTGCTCTTGGAAGACTGTTAAAAACTACGCTTTCATTCCTTGCATATATTTTTTATTCTTGGTTGTAATTAAATTGAATTGCTTCAGTGTGAATTTTTTAATAAAAATAATACTATACATTTGTAATAATAATAAAAGTTGAAGTCAAACACCTGTGTGATAGGAAATTTATAAATGTTGGGCTGCATTGGAAATAGGATGAAATCCAAAGAACTGAAGAACTATTCATAGCATTTCTAGTAGTTTTACGAGACTCAGAAAATGGACTTTTTTGGCTGTGGTTTTTTAACCATCACTTGAATGGAGGAGGGAATAGAATAATTGCTTGGATCCTCCTTAGATTGCAAGAGTGCAGAGAGGATTTTTACCAATTCTTCCCTCCTACAAAAGCCCCAAATGCATCCCCAGCATTAGAATAGCTTGGCGGTCAGTGGAGATCTCCTGTGGAAGGGGGATTTGATTAAAATCACACCCTTTGTTACGTCTATGGAAATCTAAGTGGCACCCAAACCAATATTCTCATGACTTATTTCCCCTCAAATTCAAAAACCATGTTAACATACTTTTCATGTTGCTTCTAAGTGCTTTGAATTAGGGCAAGAGATTAAAAACCAAGATATTTTCTTTCTCTGGGAATATTATTTTGCAGATAAAGTCTTGTGCAACCTTCCTACCACAGTTGATACAGTAAGGGAACTCTAGGCTCCATGCACGTCTTCT